TATATATGTAATGTATATAGACTCGGGTTCGAGATTATTGGAAAGTCACGCCGCGTCGTAAAACTGCGGCAGCACCGGCGGATACGCCATGGCGAGCTGCCGTATACTGTCAAGTAGGCCTATTTATAGCGAGTGGGCGTGGCCGTCGAGGGGGCTGTAGTCATCGCCCCTGTTATACCTGGGGATACGGCAGCAGCATGGCGTATCCGCCGGTGCTGCCGCAGTTTTACGACGCGGCGTGACTTTCCAATAATCTCGAACCCGAGTCTATATACATTACATATATATTACACAGTGACAACTTGCGGGAGAAGTCCAACCCCATTTGAGAGCTGGAGATGTTAAGGGTAAGCAGCGCCGAGATTTCATATGAAGTCCGGGAAACTATTCGCTGTTCCACCTTGTACGAATATCCTCAATCTGTTCTTTTCCATGCTCCATCATTGACTGTACTCCCATTTCGTTTTCTAACCATCAGAGTTATAGTCCCAGTGCGAGGGTGGTCTAGTGGCGAGTGACCCGCTTGCAATACGCGCGGATCGAAGCTTGGTTCCCACTCGGACCAGCGCATCTTTCGTTCACCGCAGAGCGGGCAATTCGGTGCTGCAATCATCTGTAAGGATAAAAACATCGGCTCTACATCAGCTGGCACCTGTAGGTCACATAGCTATATCGCATTGAAATACATCGGGATGGGGGTGGAATGCGTACCACAGCCGAAAGATATTCATCAACGACAAGAGCTTTCCTTTGGCTTCAGAATTACTGTCTTCATGAAACTTCGCTCCTGGACGTAGTACACCTTCTCGAGCATAGTTGAAGTTATCCGGCATATGTGGCTCAAAAGCTTGGCGCTGTAGCTATACTAATTTCGGTGTTTCAGAAAGTTCCGATGAAAAGAACACAGGCGTTTTCCAACCCAATATAATTTGACACGTTCACGACGACCGATTACCCAGTCTCCAACAAAACGAACGAACGATATAGAGGGCTTGGTTACAGAATTAACGGAATTAATGAATCATACAGAAATCAAAGATAAAGCACCCGTTAGTTAAGGTTTCTCAGAACTCGAGAGCGTCGTGAACTTGTTAAACCGCGGTATCTATCGCTAGATTTCGTAGTTTTCACAGTTCTGTTGGATTCTTTTGACTTTTCTACGCACAAGCATACAGTAGATCTATGGGGAAGACTCTGTTTAGCCTCTTTTCATGTGATGGATTGGGTTTAGCTTCTACCTGGGTGCGAAGTGACGGTTTTTCAATTTCAGCTGGTTTGAAGAGATCTGAACTTATTAGACGGTTCAATGCCAACATACCATATACGGGCCTAACGTATTCTGTGTCTCAAGAAGGATTCTTCACCGAAAATAAGGGAAAGGTGATCGTCGGTGCATTGGAAGCTGTTCTGGGAGAATCCTACGACAAGGTTAGCAAATTATTTTCATGGCTAGATTATTTCCTATTGATTATCTATTTTCGAAGGATGACCCCAATTACGTGTATAAATGTGAAGCACAATTGCAATGTTTGCGACGATTATTTGCATCAAAGAGCGGCTTTCAGGCATTCACAGAGGTTCCAGGGTAAGGTGGTTCTATTTTGCCGAACTATTCTCAAGTTTCTCGAAAATCATTTAGGGTTCGTGAGAAGCTGGGCACTCTGGTGATCCGTGTACTTTCGTACAAAAACGAGGCTATTGATTATGCAACTGTGGAAGCGCTGTGTGCTTTGATGCATCCTATGCATAATCAGTATGAATTGCGCACGGAACAGCTGAATAAGCACAGCTTACTCAGCAGTACAAAATTCGTGGAACACCTACTTGATCTCATTGTCAATCACGTTGTGAGTCCTACATTCACTGACATCTTTGTAGTCAACCTTTTTGCAAAGGGACTAGCAGATTTTTAGTTTGGATCAAGGCACGTGGTAGGCTGCGGATTCCTCAAGGCGGAGGGGTCGTTTAAGGGAGGGCAAGAGAAATTTTTTGATAGATGATTTTTCCTATTTCACGCACGCTATTCACATCGTTGGAAAACTGCCATCAGGGAGGTGGTCCTATTTCTTCGTCCCTTTGAGAGGGGTAGGGGAGAGGTCATACTAGGCCTGAGGTAGACTTTACCCTGTGCGAGGAGTTTTTTCTGGCTCTGCGTTTCCGTTTTTCCCGTATCACATGTGCACCCCCCAAAGCGCCAGCGCCGGAACTACTATACAACTACTATTTTCGGTAGTTGAATTTAATACTTTATGGTGCTCTCCACCCTCCCGGAATTTCTGGGCAGTTCCAGGAAAAAAGTGGGAACTTTGGGAAAAGTTAGAAATATTGTAGGTGGGAAGAGAACGAGCTCGACATTTTGCAAAATTTTTACCCAGCGACAGGACGTGCTCCGGTTGTAACTGATCTCATTGATCTCAGCACGGGTCTTGTACATTGTTGTGATATACCGGCTCTATGAAGGAAGGGTATATTAAGGAGCGCGGCACAGGATGGCTTGTGATAGCTGCAATGCTCGATTTCCTGACGTATGCCGTATGTGCACCCTACAGCGAGACAACAGCTGGTGAACAGTTCGATCAAATACTGAAGTTGGTAGCCGCTCGAGGTCAAAGTTTCTATCGCCTTTTCCAGTGTCCTAGCATGACGATTGTTAAAGGTGAGCAGTTCTTCATTGCAACAATTGTTGTTATTTGTTTGTTGTTTTCATTACTTTCCGTCAGTTCTTTTCGACCTCTGTCACATGTTATATCCTGGAGATGGGGAGGGCGTGGCCGCGTACTCCATTTAATCTTAGCGGCGGCTACGCTTTTAGTTAGGCACTGCCACTTTGAGACAATTGTATCGCTCTGCATGAGGGCTGTGCGAGTAATATTAGGACGTATGGCACAACATTTTTTGCACCGGTATACAGGGGGGCCAAAAAAAGTCATTTTGCCTCCATGACTTTCAAGGCGCTATAAGTTACACTTTATTAAATTTTTATCGGACATTTTTACTACCATATTAAAGAGCACATTAAATATAGGTATATGTATCCCTGATCGACTTGTCAATGACTCTTGGGCATCCGTGTGAGGTGTTCTGGATTATGATTTTGTAACCACAGCAAGATGGCTTAACAAACTTTTATTACAACCCCCCCTCGCGCTCGCCCCCCTTTTACACACCCGCCCCCCCCCTTCGCGTGGACCTGTGTGGCCTTCGAATTGCCATTCGACTTCGGGTGCGAGGGTCGGGTGCCAACGCTGAAGCCGTGCCAGTGGAGTTCAGGTTGTAGCGTGGTCGAACTCGTAGCGCCGTGCGTGTTCCTAAGCGGTTAGTTGCTTTGTGCTTGTGAGGTACGAGACCTCCCTAGACGCCTTTAGTCTACGGTGAGCTGTCCTTAAGTCTGAAATGGCATTCGGCGGTAGGTCACCTTATCTTTGACTTTCCAGGCTCCGACGAAGGCGACAGGCCGAAACGTCAGCCAAATAAAAGTTGTTAAGATCTTGGCTGTGGTTACAAAATCTATCATACTATAATGATACTCCGCCACAGCCTTCTGGAGGAGCGCCATCGAGAGATTCGGCCGCGCGAAAGTGAGTGGGTACCGGAGTTGAGCGAGATCGTTGATTTCTCCGCCACTGTAGACCACCCTGTTGAGCTCCGCCCGAACCGAGTAATTGAGGGGTTTAGTTCAGGACCCCCGCTTAAATACTCCATCTTTTCCAGGTGTCTCAACGGTGTCTTGCCAGTTCCAAGTAGGGCGAAAGTTTTTCCAACGCCCTTCGATTAAATGTGTTGTCACCCAATCCTGTAGCAGTACAAAGTTTCCAAGAAGGTACGGGCGACGACATGAAGATGGGATATTCCCTCGATTGTGTACGAGTGGTACCACCAGCGCACACCCTCAGGTCTCGGAGCGAAGAAAATATCGAGTTCATGTCTCATTCCAGGTAGCGCGCCGGTCCACACCGAATCAGCTTGGCCCGCGCCTTCGGTGTAATGGGGGCTAAGATGATGTCCGTGGAGACACTCGATGTTGCCGGTGCGGGCATCGATGTTTGAGGTCTGGTGCAGCATCAAGGAGTACTGGTCCTCCATGTGGCCTATTCCCCAGTCGGTGATTCCATTCAGAACTCGCAGGCCTGTTTTGTTACGGCCCACGTGAATTCCTCAAGTGGTTCTTCCCCCGTTGGTATTTTGTCTTCACTCAGTGTTGCCTCAGGCCGGCGGAGATGACTTCATATTTTGGTGTACATGAAGGTGAATGGCGGCAGCCGGCTCCTGCTTATAGAGGAAGATCTTGGGTATCTTCCGCCCTGGTACTCATATCCACTTCCTCTGTCTGGGCAGCGGAAAATTTTGCTGATATGTGACTCGGTCTAAGTGACTTTTTTTTGGGCCCTCCCCTGTATATCAGGATGATGAGGATAATTGGTCTTTCTTCAGCTGCTTCTCGTAGGCCCTACTTTTGCCCACAAGGCCCTACTTCACCTTTCTCACTTTTCTTCACCTATAGTTTCCCAAAAAGGAACCCGTAGGAAGGCAGGGAAAATGCTTCACCTAAGTAGTAGAAAAATTCTCCGTTTGAGTACTCGCGCAACCTCTCTGGTAGCCTGTTGTTGGGGACTTCTTAAGGCTTATGACGGGTTATGTGCATTTGCATTCGTCACCTTCTTTTCTCTTTCAATATTTCTTGTTTGCTCGTATTATTCCTTTCGTGAATCTTAATAAAGTCTTAATGTTGTGATGCTGATTAAAATTAGCATGGGTCTTTTTAATTGCTCCATATTTGTACGAGGTAATAGGTTTCCTTATGTCTTTAGTCGAAAACGATTGTGTTAACTTACTTGGATTGATTTGGATATGCGCTTGAATCCTTGCTACCATTTACCTTAGTTGTCCTTGTTTATCACTTTGTTGGAAATGTCGTATTTACCTTTATGATTATTCTTTTTTATTTGTGTTATTCATATATTAATACTTTCTCTATATTATGGCTACTGTTATTATTTTTTTCCATAGTATTATTATTTCTCTTCTATTCTCTTAGACACTTCTGAATTTCGTTAGCTTTTCTCTGGTTTGTGTTTCTCTATTTCTTGTGTATATTTATCTCTTCTTCTTATCTTTATAATTATATATTCTTCTTTCTTGTTTTTTTTTTTTATTTATTCTTCTATATTTTTTCTTCTATATATTTGACAGCTATATCTAATTATATTATTTTCTCTTTCTTCTATGTTTTGCGCTGGAATTGTGATGCGGGCTATTATCGAGGAGTCAGATGTGGAAACATCGAAAGCAATGCAGATGCTAGCACTCACAGAGGGCGCATTTTTGACGCATCTGAGGTTGAAATACGCTTACTGACGACAGGAAAAGATCTGGAAGTGAGTATATTTAACCACGACGAAACGTTTACCAGCAATACACATTAGTGAGTTTGCCTACTCCCCGCTCTCGCCCCCATGAAACTGCTGGACAGTGAGAGGGTCAAGTCGTAAGCAAAAAACCCTATTTTTAATGACCCATTTCTAAAGGAAATTTTTGAGATCACCTGATATCTATACATTATGCCGATGAGAAAAATAAACGTTTTTTTTCAATGAATTGAATGATCGCACATTCTATGAGGTCCCGCAGAGCATTTTTCTTTCCGTTGCTGCTCTTCAACCTAAACTCAGAAAGTCGATGTAGTGAAGTTCCTGAAGTTCTCGCGTTCAGCCTGACCGCCTTTGGTGGAACTATTTGGAGTAGGGTTTCTGAGAAAAGTAAAATGTCAGTTCAGGGAACAACGCTGTTTTTTTTCACTACTCATTTTTGGAGTGGTAGAATATTCCAAAATGTTTATCATCCAGGTTCTCACAAATAAACAACTAAGTGGTCACTTGATCGGTCTCTGGATTGCGGATAACCGTCCAGCGAATGATCTGCTGAGTCGATGTCTGGTAAGTATCGTAGAAATGTCCTTTAATTTTCCTAGTTTTTGAACAATATCTGCTAGCCTGGCAATTCTAGCACGTGACTCACTGTCTTTCCAAGAACTCATTCGCTAAACTATAACGTTTTTCAGCCTCGTGGTCTTTTGGACTTCCTGGAATCTAACGATCCAGTGCCGGTGAAGGAGCAGGATTTGTTAATTCCCCGAAATAATTTGGAAGCGGCAACAAACGAAATACGACAGAGCGCATTCAAGGAAAAACTAGAGAATTTCAGGTGTTTGTCTTTCTTTTTTCACTGCGGAAAATCAAAATGTAAATAGGAAATTGTTGTCGGGATTGTTTTCAACGTCCTGTTCAGAGTGACAGCTGAGGCTGGCCTGGAACGATTTATACAGCATTGGGATCTTGAACAAAAATTGAATTTCTTGCCGAAGAAGACTGATGTGGGCTATTTCACTTGAGAATTTTCTCCTTCTCCTAAGATTCATCCATTTCTATTCATTTCCAAGCTTGTAGATTTTTTCCGAGAGAAAAAGAACTATATAGGGTGTGCTCTTCGCTGAATAGGGAATTTTTAAGGATAAACAGCGTCAGCGGCCGGTGGTTTTGCGAAAAAGGCGGCAACGGGTCAGAAACTCAGTGAACTGGAAGCTGTTTGCTTACCAGTTTGGTAGGGATCACTCTCAAGCTGATCTGTTGTGGAATGAAAAGACGAGAGAAGAGTTCCGGTAAGCTTTACTAGCTAGCTTTGATGTTATTTCAATATTTCTAGTGACTTTCATTTTCAAATTTAGGTTATCTATAGAAGGTGAACTTCGAGCATTGCTGAACGAAAAGGAACAGGCACCAGCGGATATGCCGATATCGTGGAACCATACAGAATTTCAGGTTACTACCCCATTTTCGTTTTTTCTTCTCTTAAAGTTCAGTTAGGGCACAAGGTATTCTCATTTTCAATTTTTGATAAGCGCTAATTTAATCAGTGTTCCAGACTAATTACCCCTCATTACAAGATGAAGTGAAAATTGGGGACTACTACCTCCGCCTGCTACTTCAGGAAGCCGATGAATCTGCTACTCCTATTCATAACCCGTACGTCTTATCGCAGGAATTAAGGATATTTATTCGTACTCCACTTTGCTTTTTTGCAGAACCGAATTTTTCAACAACGTCTATCATCGCTTTCTGTTGTCCTCGAGAAGTGAGATGAGGTGCTTATGTTTGCGTGCGATGGCTGTCACTTACGGCCGTCATCACATGACAATAGGACCTTTTGAAGATGCACGACATTTTGTCAACATGCTCACCAAGTGTACCAATGCAGCAGA